AATAAAAAAAGCATATATACCCACAAACTACTCAGAAAAGAAGAACTCAAAGAATAACTGAAGGAAACTAAGAACTAGTTCTAGGCTCAGTCCAAGGCCTGATAAGTTGCTTGCTTAGACTGAGAAGTGGGAATACGCTTAAGAAACAAGATGGAGGAGCACATGACCAGACAAAAAGTGAGGAACAGAGGACGCCTGGAAGGCAGTGCTCTGTCATTCCTCTACCTGTGCATGAACTAGGATGCCCTGCCATGTACTGTCATAAAAGACACAGTAAGAGAAATGGCAGAAGTCAAGACCCTTGCTGCCAAGGAAACATCTGGATACCACTGCTATACCTGTGTACCTCCTGCCCCAAACCGCTCAGTGCCACAGTCTCAGGAATGGTTAGATCAGGCTGTCAGTATGTCACTGGAGCACTCATCTTATCAGGCTATGTGAAGTCCAGAGTGCCAAGATCCTCTACCCCCTTCAAGGGCCTCCATGGCGAGAAAACTAGCAGACACTTACCTTGAACTTGGGGACTGGGAGGGAAAAGTCTCTGTTTTTGGACCTGACATGGCAACGAGGGTCTTGGAGGTCTTCGACTGGTATATACTTAGAGTCCTAGCAAGGAAGTCAGGAAGAGAAAAGGTGGCTCAGGATGAGACCAGGTGTCTGGGCCCTAAGCTTCCTGCCCACGTGAAGACCCTCCCCGGCCCATGCAACAGAGCTGGGTTCCCTCCCTGATTTCTGAGAAGGATGCCATGGGTACGGTGGCTCCAGGCCAGGGAAAGAAGAGAGGGGCGCAGGAGAGGCCAGGCACTCACGTTGACGCTGAAGTGGACGCCGTCATAGCGGTACACCTTTTGAGAAGGCCTGCGCAGGGCAGGGTCCAAGGCAGGATCCACGATGAGCTTGTAGTTCCGCCACTGGAAGCTCGGGGCTTTCTGCCCATCTCCCCCACCTTCCTGATCCATCTCTGCTCATTTACACTGAGAGGAAAAGAGGGGGTACGCAAAGGGGGTCCAGGACCCTGCCGGACTCCGCTGTCCTCCCCCTCATTGGCTAACCCAGGTTTCCAGGTCCTCTCATCACCCCCGTGTCCACGCCTCACCGTGGTCCGGTCCCCCCCACACACACACCCCTCGGTTCTGGCCCAGGCACCCAGCCTCCCCATGGCGCCCCATCCTCGCCCCACCTCCTGCCTCTGCGCTCGGGGGTCCCCGCTCGTGCCCCTCACCTTCCCGCTCTCCCCGCGCGGCCTCGGCGCAGACCCCTCCCCCGCCCCGCAGGCCCCGCCCCCTCCCGCCTCCTCACCGGCCAGCGGCCCGGGCCGAGCCCGGCTCTCGCTCCCGGCCCCGCGCCCTGACTCTCAGCCCAAGATGGGACGCCTCTCCGGGGCGTTGGAAACACCGCGAGACCGATCCCGAACCCCGGCTTCGGTCCGAGTCCGCGCGGGGGGGGAGGGGGGGCGGGGG